GCAAGCCAAAAAGGGTTCTGCATTTGAAAAGAATAGGTAATCCAAATTTAAATGCATTCAAACTACAAAAACTTACAAAAAAAGGTGTTTAAAGTAAATCCCAGTTTAATTTACAATCATACCCACTTTGGAATTTCTAAAATTTTGGTGAAAAATTTTTTTTTATATTTCATTCTTATACAGGCAAAATCTTACTGAAATTCACGTGAAGAAAGCTTAAAAAAGGCCATTAACTTGGTCTATAAACAAGCCTCCAAAGACCATGGGAAAAATTTAAAAAAGCAAAAAGACAGTTAAATATATATATAGTTTCAAAATATATAATTGTTGTGGATTCCGGGATGAAATCCGGTCTCAAATGAATGACAAACGCAGGAATGAAATATAGCAAATAAATGTATTGACGTAATAATACAATTGGTAATACGGTTAGTAGATCCAGAAATGCGGTTAGTAGCAATAATAATATATATATACAGTCTGGGAAATTCAGTATCGAAGTATGACTTCCTTCTGAGTCTACGTGCTCGCAACTGTGACTCCTACAAAGCGGTTTACCTCACCTCTATCTCTCACTCTCTCACTTCCGGGTATTCACCGGCAGCAGTACAAGTACACACTGGGCGAGTCCACTTGTATAAAAAGGGGTGAACCCCTTAACTGAATAATAGAGGCCTGAAAGACAGAAATCAGAAATATTTATGAAAAATTTTATTCTATAATATACTTTATAATTTTAATCAGGAAATAATAATTAAAAAATTAAGAAAGCTCAACACAAAATGATTGGACAGATCCTAAGTGCGTATTGTTCGCTGAAAATAAATTTTAAATTGGAATGTAAAAAAATTTGGTTTTAAGCCTTAAGATCTCCTGTTCAGTCAATAAATTCGAAAAATTTCTTCAATAACTAAATCATTTGATGTTATTTAAAGTCACATTCAGCTAAAAATGTCATGGAAATGGAAATTTAAACAAATTTTTAAAATCTTGGTTGAATTTAGTCAATTTAGTTACTTTCAATTTTTAAAGAATGTAAAATATAAAATATTAACGTTGGAGAAATTGCATATCAAAAATTCAACCAAATTAAAAAAATAATTCTATTGGCATCATCTCAAAATATTTATAAAACATTTCTTTTATATGCAAAAATCTATTATAAGAAACAAAAAGAAAAAAAAAAATTTTGTATTTCTTAAATTATTTTACATTTTTAATTATCTAAAGATTATCTAATTATTTACATTAAAAGTAAAATTTAAAATGAGAAAACCCAAATAAAGGATTTCAATAGCCCAAATAATTTAAAAAGAATTTTTAAACAAATATATACAGATTAGTAATTCCCAAATATTTTTCTCCATGTCCCACTTTGGTATTAAAAAATTCTGGACACAAGACCCCCCAACTGTAATATTTAATTAAACATATATAAAATTTTACTGAAATTTTCGTGAAAGCTAAGAGAATAAAAGGACTTGGTCTCTAAACAAGCCTTGTAGAAGAAAAAAAAAGAAAAAACAATTAAATATTGTTTCAAAAACATAAAGAACTGAAAGATAGAAATATAAAATATTTAAAAAAAAATTTTATTTGTAATGATACTTTGAAATAAAAATCCTGAAATTTAATGCAAAAATGAATTTGAGCTCATCCAAAATGACTGTAAGTTTTGAGATCCTTAATGTGCGTCATGCCTGCTACAGATAGATTTTATATTAATCATTTGATTTTAGTTATTAAGCCTTTTTCTCCTCGTATAGTAGATATCAAACGATTTCTTTTTCTTCAATAACAAATCATTTAACAATGTAAATTTTGACATTCAGCTAAATATGAAAATACAAATTTTATTTATTCAATGAAATATACAAATAAAGAAAATATTATTTAGACATTCATTTTTATTAAAAATTTGAAATGATTATTTTCATTTTTTAAAATTTAAATCGAATTAATTACTGAAAAAATAATTTTACTTCTTGTTATAGTGTAAAAATTTCGGTCGATCTACTGTCAAACGTTCTTTTATATTTGATACAATGTTTGATTTATTTATTGAAAAATTAATTAACAAAAATATATTAATCTTTTTTCATTTCGACAATGGGACAAATTTGCAACACTTTTTTGGAAGCAATTTGTAATGGCACGCAATGAAAATGACATCAATTCCTAAAGATATTTAGCTGATTCAATTTTAAATATTTCATTTCAGAGACAAATTTTTAGGGATATTCATAAAATTTGGAAAAATATTAGCTTTATAATAGGAGAATACTGAAGGGAATGTTTGGTTCGTTATGTATTATGCGTTGAATGGCGGGTCTTGGAATATTAAAAAAATTGTGGAACAAAAATTCCTTTTATTGTGAAAAAAGGGGACTATTTATAAAAAAAATGATTCCCCACCAAGAATTATTTTTACATTTATCAATTTAAACTTCAACCGAATTTGAAAATCGTCAAACCTGAGATGATTTTATTATTAAAAATAAATGAATAATTTGCATCTAAATGAAAGAAATGAAAATCTTTTTTAATCAATTTTTTAAAATATTTACCAATTCTGTCTATATTAATTAATTTTCAATTGATGTACATTGTTTTTATTTAATTTTATTTGTTGCCAGAAGATATAAAAGGAGAAGAAATTTCGTTTAAACAAATTAATTTTAAAATGTTTTGAAGATATTTAACATGCAATTTTTGGTAAATTTAAAATAAATTTTTTTTATTTGGATTATTTCCTCATCTTTGTTTGATATTTCGATTTCACAACGTTAAATTAAAGTAAACCTTGATAGAAAATTTCAAAGGTTGAAATGGTGAACTGAATTTTTATTAATTTAAAAAGGGTAGACTGTTTAGGCAATTTTTATTATTTTTTTTAAAAAAAATAATTATTTGAAAATTTTTTTAAATGAACAGAAAAGATTGCAGTAATATGTATAACTGGTCAAAGTGAGTATTCGAAATACCTGTCTACTGAAGCAAATATATATTGAGAAAAATGCTCAGGCACATTTGTGTTTTGTTCAAACTAATTGAGTTTCACTCATAAGAATTAGGTTTTATAAAAAGATGATTGCAAACCATAAGAAAAATTTATATAACAAGAATAAAACAAAAAAATTTTATTAAAAAAAAATATATATATATTTTTTTTTAATTTACAATTACAATTAGCAAGAAGTTCTCTTTTCTGATTTCAGTTAAATATATATTTTTTTGAAATATATATCTTTAAAATTTAAACATATTCAAATCTTCAGTCCATGCTATTAACAGCATCCTTCTGTTATTTTCAAGTCTCTTTTTATCTATATGTTCAATTATATAGCATTACTATATATAGAAATTTGAGTAAAATCAGGAACAAACAATATCCATACATTGGTTTTGCTGAAAAAGTTAAATTTATTTAAGTAAGAAAAAAAACTGGAAAAGCTGCTGGGTAAAGTTTTTTTAAAAATTTAAATCAATGAATATTATTGCTTCTGAACATTCAATGGAATTACGTGATTTAAACAAGTTTACAAACAGTCTCTTTCTAATTAAATTAAATACAGTTTTTATGATTTGAAGACAACACCTTTAAAATGAAACATCAAATTCAAAAATTAAAATAAAAAAAAATGTAATTTCAAAACGATTCCATTGATTTTAATTTGGAAAGATTAGTTTCCTTTAAGTTCTTGCAACAATTTCTTACAGGATTTTCTGACAAGGTTAGAATCACCTTTTGGCTTCAAAGAAAATTTTTTAAAAATCTGCATGGAAAATGTAAAAAATAAAACCTTTTCTTATTAATTCATTCTTTTTGTTAGATTCTGGAAATTCTTTTGGACTGAAAATGTTTATGTCATAAAGATGTTTATTAATTCGGAAAACTTTTTTTACAACGCCAGAGACAAACGAACGTTTTTTGTTTATTACTATTCAGTTTGTCTTTTTCATGTGGGACCTTGATTTTCCTTTGTTTCAATTTCTGGCAAATAGTGAATTTTTTTCTTTTTCTTGAAAGGGCCAAACCGATATTTTTCTTTAATTTTCTTTTTGTCGATAAAATATGAAAAATATTGCAAATTGAAATAAAAAAAAAATAAAATGGCGACAATAAACCTAAAAACTGGTTTTTCCTGATAATCGCTTTTTGGTATTTTGGAATTTTTTAATTGCCATTTTGGTTCTTCGTTTTTGGTTCCTACTTTAATATCCATTTGAATCTTTTTTTGTTTGTTTACTGGTTTATTTTTTATTCTTGTAAAAATTATAATTTATATGAAAAATCTTAAAGTCGAGAAATCTTATTAAAAAAATCTATGCTTATATGCTTAATCTTATTAAAGAAAAATCCATTCATATTATTAATTTAATAATAAATAAAAAAAATATTTAATATAAAGACGTTATTCGTTTAACGTTTTTGATATACAATTGATGCGAACTTTATTAAGAATCTTATAGGTTTGCGTTTATAAATCATTATTTGAATTTGCTCGATCGACTGAAATCAGTTGATGAATCGTCCGAAGAGCTAAAAAGATTTAAGCGTACACTTAGATGTGGCACAAAGCCAAAAGGGGGGTATTTGAGATCGAACTCACTTTTCAGTTTATCTGAAAAAAAAGAACATGTTTGGTAGGAGAATTAAACCACTATTAACTTGGTTTAAATTCAACCCTTAGGATTGGATCTAACAGATCCATTCTCTAAACGGATTCTTAGTTGCTTGGGGAAAAAACACTGAAAGGAAAACAATGGTATGCATATTTTTCTGTGGAAAAAGAATGAAAAAAGAAAAGGATGAAAAAAGAAGACCAAAGATAATGAAAAGAAAAAGAAAGAAAAAGAAAGAAAAAACGAAAAGAAAGGACAAAAGAAGAAAAAAAAAAAAAAAAAAAAAGGAAAAAGAAAAAAAAAAAAGAAAGAAAGAAAGAACAAAAAAAAAGAAAAGAAAAGAAAGAAGTTTGTAAAAGAAAGGACAAAAAGAATTAAAGGACAAAAGAAAGAAAGAAATAAAGGACAAAAGACGAAAAAAGAAAGGACAAAGAAAGAAAAAGAAAGAAAGAAGAATCGAAAAAAGAAAAGAAAGAAAAAAAGATAGGGACAAAAGATTGGAAATAGAAAGAAAGAAAGGACAAATGAAAAAAAAGAAAGAAAAAAAGAAAGGACAAAAAAATGAAAATAAAGTTGAAATTGATGAAAAGAAAGAAAGAAAGAAAAAAGAAAGAAAGAAAAAACAAAAGAAAAAAAGAAAAGAAAAAGAGAAAAGAAAGAAAAAAGTCGAAAAAAAGAAAAGAAAGGAAGAAAGAAATAAAGAAAGAAAAAAAAAAAAAAAAAAAAACAAAAAAAGAAAAAAAAGAAAGAACAAAAGAAAGAAAGAAAGAAAGAAAGAAAAAAGAAAAGAAAGAAAGAAAGAAAAACGAAAAAAAAAGAAAGAAACGATGGAAGGAAAGGGAATGGTGAGAAAGAATGAAAACGGTAAGAAAAAATGAAGTAAAAACGAATGAAAGAAAGAACGATATGAAAAGATGAAAAAAGAAATAAGCCAACAAAGAAACAATAGGAAGGAAATGAATGAAGACAAAGAAATAAGTAAAGAATGAAAAACGAAATAAAGTAAATGAAGGAAAAACGAAAAAATGATAGAAAGAAATAAAAGAAAAGAAAGAAAAATACAAAAAGGAAGGAAGAAAGAAAGAATGAAACAAAAAAACGGTGGGAAGAAAAGGAATGAGGTAAAGAATTAAAAAAGTAAGAAAGAAAAATTGAAAGAAAAACGAAAAATAGGGACATGGGAAAGAAAGACATGGGAAACTGAGAAATGAAAAAAAGAGAGACATTGAAAAAGAAAGAAAGAAACAAACAAAGAAATGATGAGAAAGAAAGGAATGAGATGGGTAAAGAATGAAGAAAATAAGAAAAAAGAAAATGAATGAAAAACTAAAAATGAAGGAAAAACATGAAACGAGTAATAAAGAATAAAAGAAAGAAGGAAACGCCGGAAAGAAAATTAGTGTGAAGAGATAAAGAGTGAAAAAGTAAGAGAAAAAGAAAATGAACAATGAAAAATGATGGAAAGGAAGACTAAAAAGAAAAAGAAGGAAATATACGGAAAAAAGGAAAGAAGGAGGGTAGAGAATGAAAAAAAGTAAGAAAAAAGATAATAAAAGAAATGAAAAATGAAGAAAATAAAAACCTGGAAAGAGAAAGAAAGAAAAAAAACAAAGAAACGATGGGGAGAAATTGAATGAGGTGGGTAAGAATGAAAAATAGTATGAACAAAAAAAAACGATGAAAAACGAAAAACGAAGAAAAAAAAAGACATAGAAAATGAAAGAAACAAACAAAGGTAGGTATGAAAGGAATGCGAGATAAGAAAAGGAATAACGTAAGAAAGAAAGAAAAAAGAAAGAAAAAAAGAAAGAAAGAAAGAATCATTTTAAAAAAAAAGAAAAGAAAGAAGAATACAAACCTAAGAAAAAAAAAAAGAAAAAAAGAAAGAAAGAAAGAAGAAAGCCAAAAGAGAAAAATGAAAGAAAGAAAGAAGAAAAAAAGAAAAGAAAGAAAGAAAGAAAGAAAAAAAAAAAGAAAATGAAAAGAATTGAAAGTAAAACGAAAATGAAAAAAAAGAATTGGAAAAAAGTATTTTAACGTAAAAAAAGAAAATGCAAAAGAAAGAAAGAAAAGAAAATTGAAAAAAAAAAGAAAGAAAGAAAGAAAGAAAATAAAAAAATTGAAAAAAAAAACGAAAAATGAAAAAAAGAAAGACTTGAAAAAGAGAAAGAAAGAAAGAAAAAAAAAAGAAACAATACAAGCATAAGAAATAAATAAATAAATAAATAAATAAATAAATAAAGAAAGAAAGAAAGAAAGAAAGAAAGAAAATGAAAGAATTGAAAGTAAAACGAAAAATGAAAAAAAGAAAAACTTGGAAAGAGAAAGAAAGAAAGAAAGAAAGAAAGAAAGAAAGAAAGAAAGAAACGATGAGAAGTAAAAGGAATGAGATGGGTAAAAAAATGAAAAATGGTAAGAAAATCCGAAAATGAAAAGAAAAAAGTCAAAGAAAGAAAGAAAGAAAGAAAAAAAGAAAAATAAATGAGGAAAAAAACAAAAAAAAGTGAAATTCAAATCAAAAGTACTTCCGGTATAAGCAACTAACAAGATGTAACTACTGAAGCCAAATTGATTGCAACCTTGTCAATCATGACCGGACGACCCTTGGAATATCCTCCATAGGAAACCAACGGCGAAACTTGTATACAGTTCTATGCGCGTGTATGTACGAGTGCGTGTGTACTTGTGCAAGAGTATGTATGAACGCGTGTAATTACTGATAACACATGAGGAATCTGACATTTCAAGTTACATTGCAAGGATCATAGATTTCACACAAAGGAAGTACTGTCGTGCGCATGCGCGTTTCTCATTACATGACAGCGTTTGCTATCAAAGCGCATCAAGAGCAGTTCCTTTCCTTTGTTGTATTAA